TGCCGTATAATGCGGGTACGACAATTCCTGATTTGTATTCCTTTTAGCCGAATGCAGAGCCGCGATCACCGACCACGCGAAACACGCATTGTCCTTGGATCGTACATTGATCACCGCTCGCTTTAACATAATTTCTCGCGGTAATTCGATGTAACATCCCGCGTGCATTGGATTATATTTGTTCACGTTTACAGTCAAATTTAGAATTCGCGACAACGCCCATCCACTGTCGCGTTCTTGGAATTCTTCGAGCGACGCCAACGTGAGTTCGATAACGTACTGCTCATACCACTCGTCCAAATTTGACACTCGAAAGAGTTCACTATTTTTAGTGTTTATACTTTTGTTCGCGCGTTTATCGCCCGTCACAAACTCGCCGTTAAATGCAGTGTTCACTTTTACACTATCGTGTCTTTGTACAATGTCTCGCACTCGCTCGAGCACTACACCATCAGCGTCTTTTAAAAATTGTCGCTCAATATAGTCCACATTGATCTACACTGCACCAATCAATATACGGCTTTCAAATGCCGTATCGATTTCTCGCCAAACGAAAGATCCATTTTCTCTACTAGTGCTCGCGTACTCACCACCAACATGCACGAAATGTCTTTCTAGTTGCACTTTTGCACTGCCGCGAGTCGCGCGATCCTCGCTACCGCAGATTGTCTATTTGCAACGGTGAGTCGAGGACGCTTAACACGGCTAAGTTCCTGGAGTTGTTCGATGCACTCCTCATCGTTGCAACCACGCGAAACACTCCACCAAGGTAGCGATTTGGCTGCACTGCTCCAGCAGTTCGCGTTCCACTCGCTCTAGGTGTTCCATATTGCAAAATCTTGATTCATTTAAATTGTTGTACTGTCTTATCAAAACAATTTTACATTTTTTTACTTTCTTTTTTTCTTTTCTCTATAGCTGCTTTAACTCGAAGCCAATATATAAAGCGTTGTATTTCCGACATGTCCGGAGATTGATGGGAATAGAACAACCATATATGATTATCCTCGCTTCTTGGAATTATCTCTGCTACTTTTTGCCGCAAGAGAGGCAGTAGTAGTAATATATTGTATGCGTGTCCTGTATAATGATAATGTGTGCACGCTTCCAGAATTATTTCCGCTCTCTCAGAAGGAGCGGAGAAGCAGAGAGTCGATTGTAGCGTCCCTTAACTCTTGGATGAGGAATCGGAAAATGGAGAGTTAGGGTATAGTATCTCTTTATACGTTCATTGGTAGATGAGAGATTGAATCCCATAACGGAGAATTTGTTAATTCTTCCAATGACCTTTCCATATTGTTTTTATATCACATCACACTCTTCCACAGAGCATTTGCATATGACTCGTTGACAATGTTGTCTTTTTTCAATTTGTGCAAATTGGGCACATGTTGCATGGCATTATCACACAGACGGACTGTTGGCAATTGGAACAAAATCGGCTGTTTAGTGCATTGAGAGTATCTATCTCGTGCTTCCTAACGGCATACAATACTCCAATGTCAGTGTCCAGATGAACTATGCATTCGGCACATAGAGTTAGTGCACCACCCGTTGAATAATAAAATTGTATTGAACAATACTTTTTATTATTATTCAACGCAAGGAATTCCGAACGGGTAACAATTTTTTCTGCATAATCCGTAAGGTCATCACTTTGATCACTTACGTAATTGCTATCGTCAGACAATGCGTGCTCTTCGTCTTCAATATCAATGTCAATATTGTCAATATTGTCAATCTCCATTTCTTCTTCATTTTCAAACACTTCGTCCACTATATTCGTTCACAAAGTCTTCATCATCCATATTAAACACATTTTCTATATTTAACACATTATCTATTTTCACCGTCAACTATTTTTTTAACACACATTAGACTTCCATCTACTGTGATCCTGCACACCCCATGACCCATTATATATCATCGACAATTTCTTTGTCCCTTTGTCGGAGCATCATCATAGGTCTCCCCAATTTGTTTATAGCAGCCGGAGTATCGGCGCTTCTCTTAACACGCCGCGACATGTACGTCGATTTCTACGAAGAGCTATCTTTTCGCGGGCTCTTCCTAGAAAAAAATTTGAATGTCATCGCGCTCCTTTGCGAACATGTCGCTACATGTTTGATTGCAACAATGAAATTCTTAGAAAAAAGGGAGGGAGGAGGGGGGTTAACGGTTTGCCATGTCAAAAATTTACGCGATCAGTCCTCCATCGAACGATCACGACAAAAATAGTACTCCGCTCCTCCATCATTCGAACAACACGCAATGTATTCCGCCAAAGGAAGCAGCGCACCGTACAATGGCGAAAAACAAAAGAAGGAATGTAACGCGTAAGTTTCACCTGCATTTTTTTTATTTTTTTCTCTTTTTTCAATATTGTGCAGTATTATATATTTAATTTCCACAGTATTTCGATGGAGCGTCGCGCGGTGCGCTTACTGAGCAGACGTTACACTCTGACGGCCACGGGTTACAAATTTCTGGAAATTGGAATCAACGTTGGTCCACCGAGCTACGTGGAGATCGCTCTGGGAGATCATCGGGGACAGGAATTGATACTGTCTCTCGGAACGTGGAAGGGACTCTACGAGCAGCGATGGAATATCTATAAATTGCTGCTAAACGATTACAAAGACAATTTTATAAGCGTCGGACCGTTAACCGTCAGAATTTGTCTGATGAACGACGTTACACTCGTACGTCTTGAATCTTTGAACATACGCGTAACGATGATCGAATCGACGTTACGTCGAATGTTTGCTCTGAACGAATGTATCGATGTGACGTTCGATCGACTCGTCAGATTCGTCGATACGATCGATACTAAGTATACGCGATTCTCCAACATCGCGTCTGTTGTAACAGATCCCGAGGAAGTGCCGAATGCGATACGCGATTGCGATATCTTCGATAGACGTCAACTCGTCGATTGCGAGCTGTTAGCTTTAGTTTTTAGTGTATAAAAAAAACATATGAATAAAAAAAATTTCACACTTAAAAATGTATTCAATTATTTTAAAAATATAAACATATATAATATGCAAAAAACATGTATTTCTTTCATTTCTGTCTTCCCCATCATAAAATAATTAGAAAAATAACATTCGCCATAAGAGAGAGAGAGAGAGAGAGAGAGAGAGAGAGAGAGAGAGAGAGAG